TCAGAGGCAGCGGGGAAGAAAGCGGCTTCCCGGGAGCGCCCGCGGGCCGGTGTCACCCTCCCGCGATTAGTTTTATGCGGGACTTTAATCGTCGTCCCAGCTGGAGGAATCCAGCACCGCGAGCCCTTGCTGGCGCAGAGAGCCGCAAGGACAGTTCACCCTGTAACTTCCACAGCCTGGTCCGAGGGAACGAAACGAGCCCACCCCAATCACACCCCACCCGTTACAGATTTTCTTGCTCTCCTGTTCGAGCTTCCCACCTTACACAACCACTTGCTCTCCTTCCTCTTTTTCCTCTCCCCTCACTGCTTACAGCGGACACAAAGACGTGGAGAATTACTCATTAAAATCACTTTCCAGGATATTTACAGTTTGCTGAAGAACCAACATGCGCTCCACCCTCTTCTTTTAGGGATAGATTAAGGGATGAGAAGTTGTGTTGCATGAGAGGACAGAGACAAAAAAGGGACAGCAGCAACAGTTGCTTGGAGCCAACTTTTCTGTGAATTACAGCAATAGTTTCATTACCAGATAAACTCCGTGGCTAGCTGCGTGCCTAACCTTCCCGTGGCCTAGCCTCACTTCTTGAAAGTCCTCACCCACTTGCACTCCTTCAAAAATCTGTCCATCAGCCATAAACTCTATGTGTATCATATTCCCATGACCAAAGTAAGCACTTCTGTTTACAAAATAACAGTTTGAATACTTCCAGAGGGCCAAAGGGACAGCTTTGAAAGAGAGATGCAAGCTATTGCCTCGACATGTATTTCACACTAGAGCTTCTGGCCAAAAAAACATCCATTCAGTGAAAAAAATCCGTTCTTTTACTTCAGCTGTCAGGGCGGCACTACAGGCAAACAGTAAACAGGGAGCTGCTTGTATTCTCCGGCTGCTCAGATGACTTTTTTCTAAACCATGTTACAACATCAGAACAGGTGACAAAACAACTCAGAAAAAGGGCCCGAAAGAGAAAGTATTTACAGTTTGAAGTATAAACACCACGGAACAGTACAAACCAGATCTATAATTAGGAAGAGGATCACACAGTTGTTTGGTTCAACTGCGGTCTGTGCCGGTTGACTGATTGGTATTGGTACCGCCGAGGAAAGATTAAGCTTATTGTGTAAATCTGTAACTGGAATGGACAAAGTACTCTGTGTGACAAACACAACCATGCCCTTAAAGAAAAAATAAACAAAAGAGGAAGAAATGTAAAATTTTAAACATGCTGCCATGAAAAAGGCATGTCGGCAGCGTAAGAAGAGATACAACCACTTCTGCTAACATCGTACTAGCGCATCTCAACCGGTCAGTAACTTAGCAGGTGCTTTGGGGCACCTCCTCTAGAAAAACCTGCGCCAAGTTGGCATCCGAAGCATGAAGCAATGTAAAATGAAATGACTTTTTGTGGGATAAAAGATGAACAGATCTTTTGGAAAAAGCAGCTTTGACGTTAAAAAAACATGGCAGAGGAAGATAAGGCACGGGTGTCACAAAGGCCGCATAGAAGGCTTGAGTGGGGGAAGAATTTAAGTTTCACAGTTTGGGTGTCAGATGAAATACAAAATTTTTTGGATGTCAAAGTGCAATCTCAGTGTTGATATAAAAAAAAAGTCCTTGCAACACAGACACGCAGTGTTAATGATGTTGACAAATCTTTTCTTCTCACCACTCATATCCTTGGCTCCATTTTTGCTGTGCATTGAGCTTCAACACTTCATGGTCAATGAATTTCACTCGAATTTCCGTTCTTGTGCATTATCTAGCTCACTATCTCTGCGAATAGGCTAGATATCAAATAACTGTAAGTAAAAATATTCCTGAGTTTCTGCACAGTATCACATTTTCTTAACAATGATGCATTAAATCTTAAAGTCTTCTTCATCCAAATGCTGTCCCTTCTTTTCAAAATTATGCATTCCCAGTCTTATACAAAGCAGCGATCTGCAACAATGTCATTATTGCTTAATTTCGACTCTTCCCCTCCCTTGGAAGAAATGTTTTCCTTCTGCAGTAACAAAACCACCTCTCCTTGGTTCACTTTGGCAGAGAGACAAAAGGAGACTGCCTCGGGGTGACAGCCTAGCTGTGTTCAGCAGCTCCTGCATTTATGGCTGTATTTTCTTTTCCACAGTTCACAAACCAGAATAACAATCTTTCCCACAGTGCAGTTAAGGACTACACGTACACCAGGAGAACCCACAGTAAGCCTTACTACATGACAATAAATACTGGAGCCAGAAAGAAGGATCAAAACCACATTTTCTTAGTGTAAGATTTTTTCCATATATTACAAAATTACAGTTTCAATAAAGAAG